GCTATCGTCTGTTTAGTATTATATATAAATTAGGTACTGTATATATAATTATATATTAACTTAATTTATTGTAAGTTTATTATAATTATATATATGCTTTCTGCCGCCTGGCAACACGCTACGGAGATTTAAGCTAGTAAGTTGAGTTTGTTATCGTCTGCACAGTATGTAAATTAGGTACCGTAAGTCTAATACAGCACTAATTTTATACATTTCTTGTGAAAGAAACACTTCTTATTCTTAGTCTTTGTTATATCTATGGAGACTTGAGAGACTCTACTGTCATCCAAACGAAGTAGAACTAATTCTTCTGTATCAAACAAGAAAAGAAAAACTTTATCTTTAGAATGTAAAGTTAACGTTGGGTACGTTCGTAAAGTCGAACGAGTTAAGCGAGAATGAAGTCATCGTTATTCCTATTTCGTTAGACTTTTCAAACGATTCGTTACTAACGGATTTAACTCGTTTGACTTTACGAACGTACCCATTATTAAAGACTTCGATACAAAAATGAAAATTTGTGAATTGGCAAAGAAGTCTGATCTACTGGAATTGTCGGTCAGAACAATTATAAAAGGCAAAGAAAAGGTTCTCGAAGCTGTGAAAAATGCTCAATCTTTAAATTCAAGCATTATTCGTAAACGTCACAGTATTGACGCTGAGATGAAAAATGTTAAAATTATGGCGTAATAATCAAGTAAATGTGAAAAATTGTAAAATAATATAGGCCTAATTTGTTATACATACGTATTATCTAAGATTTTATTAAACATTTTTTTTTTCTAAATTATTGTTTTCTTTAGTCTCCGGCCCCAATTAAAAATTATTTGTATGTATTTATATGCGAAATTATACCCTGACTTACGCGAATTCGACTTACGTGGTTACCGCTCGGTCCCACCTATCGCGTAAGTTCGGGGTATTACTGTACATGACATCTGCTACGCTGTTAACAGAACGCACAACTGGAAGACACCTGGTATAGATAACATTCACAACATTAATTGGTTAATGCTGTTCTTAGTACCATGTTTTTGAAAAGAATATCATTATTGCAGGAAGAAGTAAACAATCGGTTATTGAACATCATGTGAGATTTTTCTTAGTTGTTACATGTGCATATTTTTATTAAACAACAACTCTGGAGCATGTTGGAATGAATTTTTTGTTGACATCTTTAACCACAAAGATATTCTTCACGTGGATCAAGATTTTAGTCAATACAGTGTGCGAGATAAAGTGTAAGACAAATTACATCTGGAGTAACTCTAACAAAAACGCCCCAGCAGCTAAAATACTGCTAAAGCAATTTTGATCCTAAATGTACTTTTTTGTTGATAGAGCTCATAATGTAAGTTTGAATTATACTCAGCAATTACTGAACAACATGTTCATACAAAAAGCATACACATACTTTATTGCACATTTTCTCTGCAATCAAGTTAAATGCAATTTAAAAGCGTGCTTAGCACTTTGTTTTGTGTTTAGTATCAAAGTGTTTAGGAATACATCTTTTGTTTTCAATCCCGATTTTTTTCATATAAATTACGATGTTCTGTTTGTGTTATATTACATTCAATTTTAAGTAGCAGCATTTGAAACATGTGATATTATTTTAAATGAGAATTACTTTTTATTTGCTTTTTTAAATACAATACGCAAACAGTTGTTATATTTAATAAAGTTTCGCTGAAATAATTACATTTTTTTTAACAGCAAGAAGTCCGGTATTTTCTCATCTTAGCGTATCTCTTTATGGACTAACAACAATTAGAGCGTTTAGCGCTGAAAATAAATTTATTTCCACTTTTAATAAATATCAGAATAAGCACACTGCAGCGTGGATTATTTACATTTCATTAAATCGATGCCTGGCTGTATATGGTAACATCGTTTGTTACATAAATTTACTTATTACTGTTATTATTTTCAGTGTATCAATTCATCCAGGTGAGTAAATAGATTTATTTAGCTTTGTATAGTGTATAATATATGTAATTATGAATTTATAATTGCAACTTTAGATGAAGCAGGAAGCCAAATCGGACTTGTTATGAGTTATACAATGTTATTTGTTTTTCCCTTTCAAACTGCTATTAGGTATGCTTCTGAAGTGGATTTTCAGGTAATACATGTACAAATAAACAAATAGTGTAGTCAATGTTAACTTTTTTGTTAATTGTCGTATAATTTAGAAATACAAGATTGCTTTATCTTGTCTTTTCTGGTTAGGTAACTATTCTGTAATTGTAACTATTATTACGATTATATACGAGTATTACGTCATTTTTAGTTAGTTATATAAATGTGAATTAAATTGTAGGATATTATGAGTAATGCATGTTTTTCTATGAAGCGAAAATTAGGTCACATACACTTAGTTGTGCATCAACAGATTTGTACTAATTATATTTGTTTTCAACATTGAAAACTCCAGTGAATTGTTGTGACCAAACGGTTTTGGCCAAAACAATCAAATACGTCTTGTTTTCAAGTAGTTTAATCAAAGTAACTTCGATTCCGTTTATCTCAATGTTTGCAAAAATACAATGGGTTTTCAGTTTTTATTTTTAGTTTGACAGTTAGTATTTTTTACATCTAACACTGTTATTATTCAAATCGTATAATTTTTCAAACATTAATTCATTCCACTACAAGTTTAGAAATTCATAATCTTAAATTATATATGTGCCAATATTATATTTTTTCTATAAGTAAAGGTGATTTTGTTAGTAATCATCATATTTTTTTACGAACTACCTGCGTGGAAATCTGAAAGGGTATTTATGAGATGTTTAAACTTGGCGATTTGTCTAAAACAAAGCTTCTTAAACTACGGGTCGCGACCCCACTTGGGGTCGCTTAGCGAAATCTTGGGGTTGCGAGATTTTAATGCAAAACATTGAAAATAATTTGTGAGAGTTTGAAAATGGCATGCTTTGTGTCATAGGTTTCGTGACTTGCACTTTGTGTCACTTCTGGTGCAGCGAGACTATGATTCAGTAACACTGTAGTGTGAACTAGTGTAGTGTTGTCGCTTTTCAGTGTATTCAGTTGTCCCTGTTCCATTGTAACACAAGAGCGAACTGTGGTAGTACACCATTATTGTTTTTGCAAATTTGTATATACTGTATCTTTATTTTATATTTTTGGGGGTCGCGAAAAAAATCCCAATCATAAATGGGGTCGTGAATTTAAAAAGTTTAAGAAGCCCTGGTCTAAAAATAAATTGAAAAAACAGCTTGAATTTTTATCAGGCCACTTCAAATTTGTAAAAACAGATAATCTTCTTAAAGGAAGCATTTTCTTATCAGAATATAGTTCACAATTTTCATCCTACGCAATAAACTTTATAAGAATTAATCTGATAAAAAATCTAACATTTTTATCCATACTTAATTGTAATTTATCTTAAAATGCTGTTAGACATGTAGTAAATACATAACTTAATAACTTTCAGAAAAATGAAATATTTCCGTTTCAACAAAATTGAATTTTCTGTAAATAATTATTTTATAATTTGTTTGAAAATTTCATTAAAACTCATAATATTAGAAATAATAAAATATGTACTATTTAAAGTCATAAGTAAAAATGATTATTATTACTTTATATTTTACATAATTACTGTTTGTTCTACATCAGGGGTTCTCAACTGGGGGTACATGTACCCCTAGGGGTACGAGCGTAAATCGAAGGGGTACATATAACTTTCACTATAAAATGGCTTATGTTCTTCAATTTGCTGTAAATTATTAACACAAGAAACGACAAAAACTTGCTTTAAAATATCCCAGTGTGAACACCGATTTCCTTTTAACAGTCTAAACAACTTGTTTATCCACTTGATTTGCCTGTCTATTTGTGCCATTAGTGCCGAGTGAACCTGTAGTCTAGTAGAATTACGGTTTAACCAAGCATTAATTTTAGAATAGAAATTTTTTATTATTTTATAATTATTGCTCGATAAGATTGGGGCTTTTCGTGTTTTTACTGGACTACTGGTATTAGGAATAATGAGGCTTGGATCGTACCCCAACCATGCAATGCGTGTCACCGCATGTGCGCATTACTTGATATTTAGCAAATTTAGACGTTACGTTTGTTACAAAAATTGAAAGATTCATGTATTGTTNATCGCTATTAATTAACTTCGCATTGAATTTTCATCGTTGTTTAGCCTAACAAATTTTTTTTCAAAAATAATAATCGTCGCTATTGTATCGTTAAAAATTATTTTAAAGTTATTTTATTGCCCACGAGACAAACAACCACTCATAATTAGAAAATTAAGTCTGGTTTAAATATTGGCCTCCATTCCATGGTCGAGCTGTTGATGCCAGCTAAAACACGCAAAAATTTAACGAAAATAATATTAAAGTAGACAAGGCATAGCTAAATATTGTAGTGCCACATCACTAGCGGACATTTGAAATTTGCCGACTAGAAAGATCGGTAAACCGATGTGACGGTTAATCGGGGGTCGGATAATAGATGCTCTACTGCGGTGATTCTCAACCCCGGGGGGGTACAGTACATGTACTTCTAAGGGTATGAGCATAAATTGAAGGGGTACATCTAACTTTCATTATAAAATGGCTTATGTTCATCAATTTGCTGTAAATTATTAACACAATAAACAAGAAACAACAAAAACTTGCTTTAAAATATCCCAGTGTAAACACCGATTTCCCTTTTAACAGTCTAAACAACTTGTTTATCCACTTGATTTTCTTGTGTATTTGTGCCATTAGTACCGAGTGAACCTGTAGTCTAGTAAAATTACGGTTTAACCGAGGATTAATTTTAGAATAGAAATTTTTTTTTTATTCTATAATTATTGCTCGATAAGACTGGGGCTTTTCGTGTTTTTACTGGACTACTGGTATTAGGAATAATGAGGCTTGGATCGTACCCCAACCATGCAATGCGTGTCACTGAATGCGAGCATTACTTGGCATTTAGCAAATTTAGACGTTACATTTGTTACAAAATTTGAAAGAATCGTGTATTGTTCTGCACGTTATAAATTCGCAGCCATTACTTTCAAGGTGAGTACACAATTATAATCTCTATTTAACAACGTGGGAACCAAAGTTTGAAAAAATTCCTGAAGATTTATCGCGACAAATAGCCCATTAAATTTTGTTAAAAATTACGGTATTGTAGAATGATTTAAATTTTCTTTATCGTTAATTATAATTATTTATTTTTAGGAATTATAATTTATGCATGTATTAAAATGACTTCTGTGATTTTATATAATATACTTGTTAAATAATAATAAATAAATGTATGTACCTGATTAAATTTATTATTATTAAAGTAAAATAAAAAATTCAGTTTTAGTTATAGTTAGTTAGAGTTTTCTTATGGCGCTTAGTTATAAGGGCTGTGTACATCTAACGCAGTAATTATAAAATTTACATACAAAAATATAAGGGGTACTTGAGAAACAACTAATGGGCTAATGGAGTACATCGACAAAAAACGTTGAGAACCACTGTTCTACATAATAATATTAGCGAAAAAAGTTTTTTTATTTACGATAAGTTCATATATTTTTAAATTAATTCATACATTTATTAAGAAAAGCAAGTAAATTTAAGAGCTTATCAGGACCAGGACAATAAAAGTGGGTTGATATGAATAAAGAACAATATGAAAAGAAGAAAAACTAAATACGATTACTGCAATTGTGCATCTTCATATAAAAATACTTCTATTATTAGTCTTATAAAATTTGACACATTAATTTTAACTCTGGATAAAAAGTATTGTTACTTGAATAGGTTTTTTGCAATGTGTTATTTCATTCTAAGTGAATTTTCTAGATGAATTCTGTAAAACGTATACTGAAATACAGCAAATTAAAATCAGAAGCACCGTACGAAAGTTCGTCCGATAAACAACCACCCGCGGATTGGCCACAAAATGGAGAAATTTATTTTGATAACGTTTCTTTACAATACTCCAAGGATAAAAATATTGTTTTGAAAANAACTATAAAATCAATAATTCCCATGCGAATATTTCGTGTATCGGAATTTGTTTCTCGACATGTTTTAAACATCATGAACTTTGAACTGATTAAAGAGCGTGTGTGAACAAATCGTAAGCATGCAGCAGCATGAACAAATAGAAAATGTTTATCGATCTTTGCAAAACACTAATCGCGCATAACTTACTGAATATTGCAAAAGTACAAAATAATTTTGTTATTCGTCATTTTTTAGAGACCAGCAATACTGTTGTCCTATTGCAGCAAAATTAACAAACCTTTATTTCATTAGAAATTAAATAGCAAATTGAATTTAAAATATATATGTATATATATATATATATATATATAGA